ATCACATGACCTGATCACGTGACCTGATCACGTGACCCAATTGCGTGACCCGATCACGTGACCTGATCACGCGACCTGTTCAAGCGACCTGATCACGTGACCTGATCTGCGTCCTGATCACATGACCTGGTCATGTGACCTGATCACATGACCTGATCACGTGACCTGATCACGTGTCCTGATCACATGACCTGGTCATGTGACCTGATCACATGACCTGATCACGTGACCCGATCACGCGACCTGATCACGCGACCTGTTCAAGCGACCTGATCACGCGACCTAATCACATGACCTGATCACATGACCTAGTCATGTGACCTGATCACATGACCTGATCATGTGACCTGATCACGCGTCCTGATCACATGACCTGATCACGCGACCTAATCACATGACCTGATCACATGACCTGGTCATGTGACCTGATCACATGACCTGATCATGTGACCTGATCACGCGTCCTGATCACATGACCCGATCACATGACCCGATCACATGACCTGATCACATGACCTACAGAAGATGAACTCTGTCATCTCTTGTTTTGAATGTAATCAGATTTCTGAAGGTGAAATAGTTTCTTAAGCCCCTCCCCTAAATACAGACTGTCCGCCACAGCTCAGCCTCAGTTGAAGTTCAAGAACACAATCATAATAATTTGAATCCAGCGGTGACTTCCAAATATGTAAGGTTTACCTGTGCCAGGTGTATCAGTGAGGGGCGGGGCTTATGAAACCATGGGTTCATCTGATGCTTTGACTTTCATGAATCTTCTGAACATAAAAACTGTGGTTTAAGCAAAAATCAGACATTTTATCAGAATCAAATGAATCAAAGTAGTTTAATAGAAAAAATCAACTTAAGAAAAAAATGATAAACAATCCTGCAGTGCAGAGATGCTGTTACCATGGTTACCTGATGTCACTCTAATTGATTAATTGTGTGACTTTGATTGTTCTCTCCCGCTAATTTCTGATGATTTGATTGATTGATTCACTGCCTTTTCAATCTCCTGTAGAAATTTACATGACTGTACCTGTAGGGGCGGCAGGGGTGCGAGGGCTGGGTGGGCGGGGCTACCTGGCCTACGCAGCTGGGGGCGGAGCTGTAGGACGCAGTAGCGGCGCCTCCTATGGTCTGAAATTGAATAAACAGGCTGAGGAGAAACTGTACGACCTTCTGCCCGGGATGGAGCTGACACCGATGAACCCTGCTGCCATGAGCCTGAAAACCACCGGCATCAAACCAGCAACACAGGTAACGTGACTTACCTGAGACCAAATGAAAAACACAACTCACCTGAGGCCAGGCCAGGTAACACTTGACCATAGACCAGATAATATGTCTAACCTGAGATAGACCAGGTAATATGTCTCACCTGAGACTAGACCAGGTAATATGTCTCACCTGAGACTAGACTAGGTAATGTCTCACCTGAGACTAGACCAGGTAACATTTCTCAACTCAGACTAGACCAGGTAATATGTCTCAACTGAGACTAGACCAGGTAACGTGTCCCAACTGAGACTAGACCAGGTAATATGTCTCACCTGAGACTAGACCAGGTAATGTCTTGCCTGAGACTAGACCAGGTAACATGTCCCAACTNGACCAGGTAATATGTCTCACCTGAGACTAGACCAGGTAATGTCTTGCCTGAGACTAGACCAGGTAACATGTCCCAACTGAGACTAGACCAGGTAACATGTCCCAACTGAGACTAGACCAGGTAATATGGTTCACCTGAGACTAGACCAGGTAACATGTCTCAACTCAGACTAGACCAGGTAATATGTCTCAACTCAGACTAGACCAGGTAACATGTCTCAACTCAGACTAGACCAGATAATATGGTTCACCTGAGACTAGACCAGGTAATGTCTCAACTGAGACTAGACCAGGTAATGTCTCAACTGAGACTAGACCAGGTAATGTCTCAACTGAGACTAGACCAGGTAATTAAGGTTCACCTGAGACTAGACCAGGTAATATGTCTCATCTGAGACTAGATCAGGTAATTATGGTTCACCTGAGACTAGACCAGGTAACATGTCTCAACTCAGACTAGACCAGGTAATTATGGTTCACCTGAGACTAGAACAGGTGACACGTCTCACCTGAGGACCAGACAAACCCTTGACTGAGTGTTTAAATCTCAGACATTACCTTTTGTTAAAGAACCTTTGAGGGTTTGGACCTGAGGTTCTGCTTGGTGGTGGTGTAAAACCGTTTGGACCTGAACTGTTTCAGGTTCTGGAGGAGCTGTGTCAGAAGAATAACTGGGGACAACCCGTCTATCAGCTCCACTCTGCCATCAGTCCAGACCAGAGGCAGCTGTTTCTCTACAAGATCACCATTCCAGCTCTGGCCTCTCAGCACCCATCAGCGTGAGTTTGGACCGCTTCCACTGGTTTTTACTGGTCTAATCCTTCTGTCAGTGGATAAACCTTTTATAACAAAAAGTGTCCACAGTAATCTTTACTTAATGTGTCCCAGTTAGAGTTGAAGTAATTTCCTGGGTTTAAACCAGGAGGCCTCAGTTTTTAAACAGACATATTTTGACCCAAGACCAGCAGGAGGGTTTATTTTTCCTGAACCAGTTGTTTGGTTTAAAGACGTTGGATGGTTCTGATCCACCTCTGTTTGATGCGTCTCTGCAGACATCCCTTCACTCCAGCCAAACTGTGCGTGTCAGTAGAAGAAGCGAAAGTCCACGCAGCCGAACACACGCTGCAGATCCTCGGCCTGCAGACAGAGGGCGTCGCTGCTGACGCCAGCTGTGCTGCCGCCGCCGCCGTGGCCTCAGTGGCCTTTCCAGGTATGTGAAGGTTCGTACCCAGAAAAACTAACTCTTCTCTCAGCGAGCCACTAACAGCCTTCCAGATGAAACTATGCTGACATATTCTGTGAGATAACAGGTTGTTTCTGCAGGCTACGCTCTGGCGAGCCCGGCGTCCTCGGCGGTCACCTCCCAGCTGAAGCAGGCGGTCTCTCTGGGTCAGGACATGGCCGCCTACACCACCTTCGAAGGTTACCCTGCGTTTGCTGTGGCGGCGCGCCACGCTGACGGATACGGAGTTTTCTAGAAAATCCATTTCCAGAGAAGAAAATTCCTAAAGCTGCGTTTACACTTTGTTTCTGATTATTGATCCCAGGTCAATTCTCAGCTAATGTGAAGAAAAACTTTAAAAAAAAAAAACTAGACCTTATGAGTGTGAATGCACCTTTAAACTGCTGGATCCAGTTTTTACAGCAAAAGTTTTATTTTAAAATAAGATCAGAAATTTAAAATTCAATCCCAGATAAACCATACTGGACCCGTCAGCTGCCCAGAAACCAGACCTTCTACCCTGGCATCTTTATCGCACCTGTTAATTAATTAAAACAATTATTTGATTATTAATTAAACCAATTATCTGTTTGTTAACTAAACCAATTATCTGTTTATTAACTAAACCAATTATCTGTTTATTAACTAAACCAATTATCTGTTTATTAAC